AGTGCTATCATGGGAGGAGCAGCTGCAGGAATGGGAGATGTTCAGCCTGGATAAAAGATGACTCTGGGAAAACTACAGGAAAACCATCTTCAGCTACTTAAGAGAACTCTGCATGGAAGAGAGAGCAGCCTGGATCCATGTGGCCCAACAAAGAGCAGCCACGACCCAGTGACGCCTCTGCCTCATATGGGTTGATGAAGTTTGGATGTGTTGTCCCCTCCAAAACTCATGCGGAAATCTGATCTCCAATGTGTCAGTGTTGGAAACTGATTGAGTCATGGGGGCGGATCCCTCATGAACGGATTAATGCTCTCCCTGGGGGTGGGGGTAGTAATGAGTGAGTTCTCACTCTATTAGTTCCCACGAGAGCTCATTACTTAAAAAGACCCTGGCATCTTCTCTCTCTCTCTTGCTTCCTCTCACCATGTGATCTGCCTGTACCCGCCAGCTGCCTGCTATTTTTCTGCCATGAGTAGAAACAGCCTGAGGCCCGTGCCAGACGCAGCTGTCCCAGAATAGTAAGCCAAATAAATCTCTTTTCCTTAAAAATTACCCAGTCTCAGGTAGTTCTGTTATAGCAACACAAAACGGACTAAAACACGGACCCTGGCATCTTCTCTCTCTCTCTTGCTTCCTCTCACCATGTGATCTGCCTGTACCCGCCGGCTGCCTGCTATTTTTCTGCCATGAGTAGAAACAGCCTGAGGCCCGTGCCAGACGCAGCTGTCCCAGAATCGTAAGCCAAATAAATCTCTTTTCCTTAAAAATTACCCAGTCTCAGGTAGTTCTGTTATAGCAACACAAAACAGACTAAAACACAGGTCCTGCCCTCACTCCAGCCACACTCAGCAATGTCCCAGGTGCCAGAGATACCCCAGACTNGCTGTCCCAGAATCGTAAGCCAAATAAATCTCTTTTCCTTAAAAATTACCCAGTCTCAGGTAGTTCTGTTATAGCAACACAAAACAGACTAAAACACAGGTCCTGCCCTCACTCCAGCCACACTCAGCAATGTCCCAGGTGCCAGAGATACCCCAGACTAAGGAAGTCCTTACCCTCCTCAGCTCCACCTCCTAGTCCTGGGCCTGGTGTATGTGAAGGTTAAGGGCTTGGGTTTCAAATCAGGAAGCCCCAAGTTCCAGGCCTGAACCTGTACCCTCTCCTTTGTGATTTGGTGTGACCTGGCACCAAATCACAACCTCTCCAGACTCGGATTTCCTGGTCTGTAAAATGGGGATGATCATCCTTGCCCTATAGGGTCCTAATGAGGATCCATTCACTCATTCAACAAACATTTATCCAGCACTGCACTGGTGCTGAAAACCACCTCCTGGACTGATGCTCCAGGGGATCAAATGAACACCAAGGAGAAGCCCGGCACACAGTGAGTGCTCAGTTAGTGCTGCTGGTGACTGTCAGGGGCCCCTGCCCATCTCTGATCTTGGTGCTGAGCAAAGGACCATGGGGATGCAGGCCCCTGACATCTGTGTACAATAAAATCTTCTCCACTGCAACACCCCTTAGCGGGGTGGATCAATAGCTCAGGAAAGAACACCTGATCTGTATCTACAGTTCATCTGTGGGTGCTTGGTTTCCTTCAGTCAGCACATCCAGGGTTTTATAAATAAGCCAGGTATTGCCAATTCGGCACTCTGTATGGTGTGTGAGACGAGGCACCTGGCACCTCCCCTGAGGTAACAGGGAGATTTACTGTTAAGAGTTGTGGCTCTGGAGTCAGACAGCCTAGGGCTGGATCCCCCCTCCACCACTTATTTGCTGTGTGACCTTTACAAGTGTCCCAGCCTCTCTGTGCCTCAGTTTCTTTATCTGTAAAATGGGAGTAAGAACCTGCCTCATGGGGTTGTTGTGAGGAATAAATGTTCTCGTACATGTAGACTGTCTGAAAGAAGCCTGGACCAATAATTGCTCGTCCCGGTGTTTTAGGCTGAGTTCCTCCAGAAGCCAACTTTGAGACAAGGGTTTAAGTGCAAATAGTCTGTTCAGAAAATGACCCCAGCAAGTACCAATAAGGGAATGGGAAAGAGGGACAGGAAGCCAGAAGAGGGTGCATGAATGACCAGGTGACCTTTGTGAGCAACTAGGGCTCAGTCCTGCTGGGGACCTCTGGGGCAATGTAGAGAATCCCCTCCGCATCCTCCCACCTGAAGGCAAGGAAGCTGGGACGTTTGCAGTAGAAAGCAAAGGAGTGTAAGAGAACAGAGACCCAACAGCGACTGCCACACCAGGCTCCTCTGGAAACTGCAGGAGTCTTCCCTGGGCCCCTGCACCCCATGTATAATGACAATGACAAGCTGAGCTCAGGTGGGAGTGGGGGGTTCTGAGCCAGAGCTCATCTGATGCTGAGGTTGATTAAGCTCCTCCACACATCTGAGTGACATTCAAAGGCCTCGCATCTCAAACACATCTCCCTCTCTCACAGCACCCTGGCAGGGGCCGGACATTACCCTCTGAAGTATTTTAAGCAAGGCTGGAATATGTTTCAGTCAGCACTTGAGCATGATCCCTCCTGCTGGGGACAAGATTTCAGGAAGCAGAGTGAGCCGAGGGGTCCTGGAGCAGAGTGGTAGCGGGAACATCTCCTCCAGCCACCCTGGTGATGCACGCCAGGTGCGGTTCTGGGTGTCGGACCATTCAGGTCTCCAGGCAGGGGCAGGGAATTTAAGGAACTGAATGGAGCCCACTCCTCTGAGAGTTGGGGGCTGGAAGAGCTGAGCAAGGAGGTGTCCAGGCTGCTTCTGCAGTGGAGGCTGCACTGCAGGGAAGGGGCACTGAGACAGCCAAAGCCTCCCTGCAGGGCTCTCCTTGGCTCAGGAACATGAGGGCACTGAGCCCAAAGATGGAGCATCTGATGGAGACCAGGGAGGCAGGAAGTGATGTACAGTTACAGTACAAGGGTGTAACTGTTTCTAATGACCTGGAGGGACAGGGATAAGCTGTGCCAGTGCCTTCCCTGAGGGAGGACTCAGGCAGAATTCATCAGGATGTATTTTGAATGCGGTGTGGCACTGGGTGAGGGGTAAGAGTCGTTAAAGGATTCTCAATCTACTTTTTCACCCTCCAGGAACCTTTGTCTGGGTGGTCTTCTTCCTTGCCTCCTCCTTGATCAGCGGTCAAGACACCCTGGCCCCCCACCTGACACTCCTGCTCCAGTGTCGGCAGAGTGACTCAGCAGGTAGGGGCTGTGCTCAGCACTGAGACTCCCTGGCCGTCTGCCCTGTCCTTCCTAACCCATGAGTATCCTTGGACAACTTCCCAGGCCCTCTCACAACTCTCCAGCTAGAGAAACAACAGTTTCTAAAAGAAGCCACTGGGAGGGCAATGGTTTTTTTAAAATGTCACTGGGATTCAAGGGACCTTAAGATCCCTGAGGGCCATCCCCAGGCAGTTCCAAGAATAACGCTGGAGAAGGGCTGGGATGTAGTTGGACCACTTCCAAGATGTTCTTCCTAAGAAAGAAGCATGCTATTAAGTAAATCAAAACCCCCTCTCCAGAGTCTCACACAAACGGGCCCTGAAAAAGTCTTCTCTAGGTACTGGGAGGTCCAGCATTTTGGTGAGACTCCAAAGCGCTTAGTGAACCAAATACATTTACTGGGGAATAGGAAGGGAAGGGAGGTGGGCGGGTTCAAGGTCAGGAGCAAAAACCACTGTCTTGGCTGAAAGGAAAATAGGACATGATCCAACTTATTTCTAGAACTGGGACAGGAGAAAGGGGACATGGGAGGGTATGCAGCGTGGCCAAGGGCCCAGGTATGCCTCAGGACAAAGGTGGTGCCTCGTACTGGTACCTCAACTTCACTCATTAATGTTGAGAATGTTGGAAAGGGAGAGCCGCAGGCTGTATGCCTCAGCACAGTTTGGAAGAAGAGAAGACACGGGCGCGAACACTTGATACAGGACTCCAGACGGACTTAAGAGATGTCCCAGCTCCGGGACCCCCCAGGTAGCATTCACTCGGGCAGTTAGGAGCGCTCCAACAGGGTCATGTTAGATGCACTAAGCTGGTGCAAAATCACCACTTTACAAGTGAAAAGACCGAGGTGCAAAGAGGGCAGGACCTCTGTCCGATCACACGGACTGACTGAGCGACAAAGTTTCCCTCTAACCTTGCTGGGGGCTCCCCGGACCTTTTCGCATCCTCTTCTCTCCTAGAAATGGGTTTTCCCCCACCCCTCCTCCCCTCTCTGCCTGTACGCTCTCTTTTCCCCCGGGAAACTGTTTGCACGGGAGACAAACGTGAATCAGAAAAGGGACTGGATCATCGATCACAAATCACAGCGCCGACACGCACTGCGCATGCGCCTACCCGCCCCCCCCCC